TGGGGGGGGGGGGGGAAGTGTGTGTGTGTGTATGTGTGTGTGTGTGTATATATATATATATAAATAAATAAATAAGTTATATATAATGTTTCTTGGGAAAGGTAGAACAGACCTTGACAACTGGTTCTCACCCTGCTGTGAGTTTCAAAGGGAGTGACTCAGATTCTGCAATCAAGAAAACTGGGCCCTGGACATTTAATGACACAACTTGCCTGTTGGCCTTCATGGGGCATGCTGCTTTGGACCCCCACCATTAACATCTGCTTAGCATTTCCTATGCCAGTGGCAAGCACAGCACATTAGCCTGGCTGCCACCGTGACACTGAGTGTGAATCTTCTGAGCTGCACGTAGAGGCACCTTTTCATTCCATAGGGCATTGTGTGTAGTGGGAGGAAGGCGGTTTACTTTCCTACAGACAGGCACTCAGGTGACGAGAGCAGTGAAAACAGACTTCTTAAAACTGGCTGGACTCCTGAATGCCAGGTCTGTCAGTGAGCCCTTGTTATCAACACTCCTGCTGGCAGCTTAGCGTGATCACCAGCATAATAATGCTTGTCTCTGATCTTGTACGCATTCCTGTGTGCTGTCAGTCTGTTCCCGTGGCTCTCCATGATGCTGTTCAGTGAGAAGTGGGTTTCTGGCTACTCACTGTTTAAAGTCACTGTGCATTGCTTCAAAGAGTTAAACCAGCGGAGACTATTAGGCTATGTCTAGACTGCATTCCTCTCTCGAAAGAGGAATGCAAATGAAGCAGATCGAAATTTCAAAAGAAGCACGGATTTGCAAATCTTGCGCTCATTTGCATAATCGTGGGAGCGCTTTTTCGAAAAAGAGCTTTTCAGGAAAAAAAACCCTGCAGTCTAGACGGGGTTCTTTCAGGGGGAAAAAAACCCCTTTTTTGAAAGAACCCGTACTCCCTATTTTTTCAAGATAATGAGTTCTTTTGAAAAAGGGATGTTATTTCCAAAGAACCCCATCTAGACTGCGTTTTTTTCTGAAAAAACCCTTTTTTGAAAAAGCACTCATGCAATTATGCAAATGAAGTGAGATTTGTAAATCTGTGCTTCATTTGAATTTTGATCTGCTTCTTTTGCATTCCTCTTTCGAGAGAGGAATGCAGTCTAGATGAGCCCTTAGTGTCACTTTGCCTCCTGATGAATTTTTTTTCTTTCTCTATCCCTCCTTTTTTCCTTTATAAACAGCAACTGTGTGATCAGCCCAGCCCAAGGGGGAAGTGCATGTTCACTGGGGGCAAAATAAGCTTTCTCAAAGGCCCATATTAGAGCATTGGTTGTGGGGTTTTGTGCCTATGCAGGGGCTAAATTCCAGAGGGGAATCTGCATAGTTATGTGAAATGGAGGGGAACTGGATAGAGCATGCCCGGCTAGTACCCGAACCACCGGGCAGGCCTTCTTCTGTCTCCTTCCAATGAAACAAATGAGCAGCACTGAGCTACATTTTCATACAATTAAAGTCTCAACTCTTGTTGCCCTGCTTGTGTGAAACATCTATAAATACTTCAGTGTGGGCACCAGGGTACTTTGGGTTAAGTGTTCTTTGTTCTTCCCCTTCAGATACCTGATCAGATTCCCACAGACCTAAGCATAACCTTAGAATGAATGTATGGCTAATTCTCTCTCCCCTGTGGTTCTAGAATCTCCAGGGTTATGATGCAAAATCCGACATTTACAGTGTGGGGATAACAGCCTGTGAACTGGCAAACGGACACGTTCCATTCAAGGACATGCCTGCTACTCAGGTAGGCTTTGTAAGCGGTGTGGGCTCTACTTGCATCCCAGCCGTACAGCTGCATGCTGGCTGTGTGTGTCAATGATACTTCAATGAAAACCAAGTTACTGGCAGCAGCTGTGTTTGTAAAGAGATGTAACCCACTCTGGCCTCTTGACGTCATGAACAAATCAAGAGGCACTCTTTGCATAAAAGTAAGGGTAACAACCCTAGTCTCCTGGTCAGATTGCAGGTTGGTTAAGTGACTTCCGCTCCAGTGGAGGCTGCGTCCCAGAGGTACATGAAGGCATACATAGAAATTCATGCTAGAAAAAGACCTATGGGGTTTTCTCCTTGCCAGTGCAAGATTGTTCCCTGCAATACATTTTCTAGTGCTCTATTCCCAGTAGGGATGTAAAATCCCGTTTAATGAGGGCAGGTGGGGCATAGGCTGCTCCAGCCAGACTGGGCCCACCACGGGCAGGGGCTGCTTCAGACATGGCTGGTTAACCATTCACATCCCTACTTCCCAGTTGTCTTTTAAATGTTCCAAAATGTGGAGTTCCCTCTGAAAGACCCTGTGGTAAGATTATTATTGATTGACTTAATATCTTTTAGCATTTTTAATGTGTACAAGTTGCTGGCACTCTTTGGTCCAGCAACATCCGTGGTCAGGGATGATTTAAGTTAGCCGGATGTCCACTTATCATAGGTGTGGCCAAGTGTCCCGCAGTCCCATAAAGTTTGTTTACGGCTGCCAGTCCTGGCTCTGTATTCTGTGCTATTTAGCTCTAATTTATCCTGAATGTCTAAGAGCCCAGCAAGTAGTGGAAGTGCTGGGTAATGCCACTAAGGATAAACATGGTTTTGACTTTGAGTAAATGCTATTAGTAGCTCCTTGCAACATTCAGTAAAATTGCGTAACAACACTTACCGTTATGAAGAGAGCGGATAAGCCTTGGCTAGGCATAGGCCCATATATAGTATTAGTCAGACTAAGCAGCATTGCAAGTATTGTTCCTCTTCTTAATTTTTATTTCGCTGAGGTGAATAGAGACTCATTCATCATGTTTCCTCTGATTTTTTTTTTCCATCCACATGCAGAATACATTTTGTTGTGTACTGAGGCATGTGCACTACCAATAGAAACATGTGCTGCCGATTGTGGGCACTCGGCTAATCAGAATTTGAATCTCTCCTATTGGATTTTCTCTCAAGCACTCTGCTTACAAGGAACACTGGCCAGTCACCACGATATTGATCTCCTGTGGTTCGGCAAATTCTCTGGTCCCGAGGGTGCCAGACTAGGGAGGTTCGACCTATAGTAAATCTTACCCTTTTTTCCCCTGATAGAACAGCAACTAAGAATGGTAGTATCTCGATCCTGTGGCAAGAGCAACGCTGAGTGAATATACAACAAATGCAGACCCTGAATCACTTGCAGGACACCACTGAAGATTGTTGCATAGAGTATTTAAATGTCAGATACTTTTATTGTAGGGAGTCCTGCTCTCTTACATGTGTCTCGTCCATGCCATGCTTGTGACATCCTTTCATCTCGTTCCATTTCAGATGCTGTTGGAGAAGTTGAATGGAACTGTTCCATGCCTGCTCGACACCACCACAATCCCCGCTGAGGAGCTGACCATGAAAACCTCCCGCTCGTGTGCCAACTCCGGGATTGGGGAAGGCATGGCAGTTAGCAACGTGAGGGCATCCAATGGGGAGTCAATGCTGCACCCCTATCATCGGACCTTCTCGCCCCACTTCCATCACTTTGTAGAGCAGTGCCTGCAGCGTAACTCAGACTTGAGGTACAGCCATAATGAGAATGCTTGAGTTACAGGTCTGGGCCAAACACCACTTGGGACTTGGTGACACTAATACTGAATCTGGTTCAAGGATCTAGTTAATACTGATCTCTCAACATGGCTTCTGAGTTGGGTCCCAGTATTTGGCTTTTTGTTCAGTGATTTCTGATTTAAAATCTCAGTGGCATGAAATCGTGCCCCATACGTACAGCAAGAGAGTTGTCTGGAATACCTTTAAATATATCTCCTGAAAGCAGTACGAGTAGGTAGCACTTTGATAGGCCCATGCACCAGAGACCCCAAAGAATTTCAATTAAGCCTCCCAGCCACCTTGGGAGAAGTTGTCCTCATTTTACAGATGGAGAAACTGAGGCAGAGAGGTTTCATTATCCATCCAGGAGAGCTCAGCTGGAGACTTCAAAGAATAAACGCTGAGAACAGAGCAAGACCAGCATTTTATAGTTAGCCATGACAGTGTATTGTTATCTTGCTCTGTGGTACTCAACTCTTCATAATCTGGGCTAGCAGAAGCTCTTGCTGTGTCCCTGTGTACAGCTTCTTTCGCTGTCCAGGAGAGAGGAGTATTCAGGGCAATGATTGTCCCTGTGAGAACTGCCTCACACAGGTTGTCCGTGAGAGCCATCACTTAAATCATACAGCCGTCTCATCGGCTACTGACCCCAAAGCATTTTGAGAAATCTTTAGGGGATAGCCTGGCCGTCCGCCCACAGCTTTGCCTCTCATGGAGCAGGTTTGAATGGCAAAGGTGCTTAACTCCTTCCCTTGTTGGGCCCCCTGGGGATGTGTAGAGGATAAAACTTGCTACTGCATATAGAAGTGGGAGGCCTGTGGCTGAGGTACAGGACTGAGTCAGACTGGGATTCTGTTTCACCCTTCACCCCTCGTTTGCTATGTGAGTGGCCCCTGGCTGTGCCTCGGTTTCCCCCTCGGTAAAATAGGACTCCTCCTGACCCATCTCACAGGGTGGTGAGTGTTTGTAAAGAACTCTGAGGCCCAAAGGAGAGCTTGTTAGGTCAGCATCATTTAATCACACTCATGTCTGTTGTACGCTGACTCGTTCCCTTCTTATTCTCTTCTGTACAGGCCAAGCGCAAGCACCCTGCTGAATCATTCCTTTTTCAAGCAGGTAAAGAGGATCCTTTCATCTTCTGGTAGAGGGCCGGAGTGACCCCTTGCTGTGCCACTGCTGTCCCCTCAGCTGTGGGGTGCAGCGCTCAGAGGGTGGGGGTGGGAGATGTTGCTGTTGACACCTCCCCTCTCGGTAGCTCCACTCTGAAAGCACCTTTTAGACCTGAAGCCAAGAAGGACCAAGGTCCAAAGGGCTTGTTTCCCTTCCTCCTTCCTCTCCCACTTTCCTAATGAGGGTTTTCTTACTTATCTCATTGAATCCTGGGTCGGCGCCAAAATCTTGCCCTTTCCCAGACTCTGCCACCCTCTCCTAGTAGCCAAGGGCATTAGCACTTCCTCTGGATTGGCCACTAGAGGGGGCCACTAGATGAAGTGTGAGGAGGTTTATTCCCGGTTTAGAGGGCACAGTGCCAAACACTGCAGCACTAACTCAGGCAAGGGAAGAGTGGGTTAGACGTGCTGACATATTGTGCTGCTGTTCTTAGACCAGTCCATATTACAGTGTCATGCACATGGTGCAAATGCTAGTCCTGAGGTAAAACCTATCTCCGTTAGAGACTCAAACCAAAACAAACTCTTCTTCCACCCTCAGATCAAACGTCGTGCATCTGAGGCACTTCCTGAACTACTGCGCCCTGTCACCCCCATCACCAACTTTGAAGGTACGCGGCCCCAAGATCCCAGTGGCATTTTTGGACTGGTATCCAGTCTGGAACAGCTAGAGATGGATGACTGGGAATTCTAGGGCAATGTGGCAAATACACAGTTCTTGAAAGAGCTTTCTGGACATAGTAATTTATTGACCCCTCTCAAATGAAGCAGGGATGAATGTTACACGCAGAAGAGTTTACATGACCATGGTAAGGAACGTCACCGAGCCGTTTACTTGAGGGAATCGCCAGTGGACAGAAAGGAACTGGAAAAAGGGATGGCCGGAAATGTTGAATGTTTCCTGCAGAATGCCAGAAACCTCCCAGTTCTTGCGACTGAGCACCAGGTGGTGGCTGTATTAGTAGTTTTGTTCACAAGAATTGAGTCGGTCCCACTCTGTTGGTCTCTAAATGTTGTTTTTTCTCATGTTGTTGATTCTCTGATGCCCCTAATTCAGAGGGCTCTGTATCTTGAGCCTATTTTTAGGTAGACCCTTTATTTTGTTCCTTTACAAGGGTGCCTTTGAGACACATGTGAGGGAAGGGGGAAAGGAATGCATGGGCAGGTTATCTTCTGTAGCATTCTTCTGGGGGGGGGGTCCCATTTTTGGCAATAATGGATTTAGCCTGCTACTTTGGGAGGAAAATGGAAGACCAGACAGTATTGAAGAAAGGTGTTCCCTTCTATTCCCATCATGTTCAGAGGCGAGGAGATTCCTCTGCACAGCTTGATTGGTCTCTTCAGGGAGACCTGTAGATATGTTGTTTTGTTTAGTTTTTATAAATGAAACTCTTGCCATATGGTGCTGAATGCCCTCAAGTGCAGGTGAGAAGGGCATCCCAGGCTTCTGGGACTAACCAGCTGCTCTTGTCTTCTCATGTAGCCACCTTCGGGTCTGGTGGCATTTTTTTTTTAAAGGTAAGATGTAGTTTTAAGTCTTTGAAACTGCTCCATACTATATGATAAATGCCATTTACTTGGCTGGCCCCATCCTGCAGCAAGGCTAATGTCTCTGCACACAGCATGCTGTTTTTGAGAACCTACCATTGGAGGGGAAACAGTAAATTGGAAGCGTGTGTGCTCCCGCTCGCTCTCATATCCTCCTCTTCCTTGCTCCTGTTGTTTGGATGTTCTGTGCAGAATTCTCCTCCTGAACAGGTTTATTGGTCTCCCTTGCCACTTAAAGCAGCTTTCAGACCCTTTCTAGATCATTTATACAGTTCCGTTGGACTGATGCTACCTTGTGCCCCACCATCGACAAACTGCTACTGTAGCAGCTCCTCCCTCGCTGTGGTGATCAGGTTCTCCAAGCTGCATTTGAAGGCCTTTTGTTCAACCTTTCTAAGCACCAGGTGCATCGTAGATCTTCCTTCTCGATGATGCACCAAGAATCTGGTCCTGTCTGATGGTCGCCGAGAGCAGTGGTGTGGGCAGCAGGTCCTTTTTGTGTTTATAAACTGTACTTGAACCCAAATAAAGTTTGTTACTATAGTTTTGTTGCCAAAACAAATAAACATTTAAGTATTTCTGAAGTATCCATAGATCTGTACAGATGCTAAAGGGACCCGGTCTTCCTCCACCAGCCTGACTTAGCCTGTGTGGGTATGCAAGTTGTCACACAAGACTGTCACAATGGTCCCTTCTGCCTTAATCTGTTAATCATCTGCAGTAGCATGTTACACTGAGAAGGCCTGGATGATTGCTGTTATGAGGCAGCAAAGTTACTGTAAAACAAGGACTGGACTACTGACCTTCCTTTGCAAAGTGCTGAGTTATACAGTGATGAAAAGAGCTAGGGATTATAGTTCTGTTTGGGCCTTTTCTTGGGTGCTTTACCTACACTAATGGCTTCACCCTTGCTGGGTGAAATATTAAGAAAGGGTAACTTGGGCCATTTAACAGGGCCACAGCGAAGGACCGGAAACAAGTACAGCACCACTGAACCTGAGGCAGAAGGTAATGACATGAATTGAAATATGCCTGGGACAAGCGCCAGGGTTCCTGGTGGATCACAGATGTGGTTAGCCAGCAGCTTAGTGACGCCTGAAAAGACGGCAGCTTCGGTAGCAGAGCCACTGTCATTAGGGCCAGTGTCAGTGCAAAGGAAGAGCACAGATCCCTGGAAGCATGGGCTACAGGAGGATCTCAGGGGCAATCTAACCTCAAGGACTGGCTGAGCTTCATTTTTGACATGTGTGTGTCATAGTACAGCCTAGGAAGGGAGGCTTTTCTATACTGCTTCCAATTACCCAAGGGCTGTGTTCTCCCAGAGTAGGAATGGGCTCTGTGCCTATGGAGCAGTCAAGTAGGCACGTCCAACATTTCTAGTGACCACCTGTGGGACCCTTGTCCTCTATTAGCAATGGGCTTCCTTGAAATCAAGACACTGCTGCAAGGCCCTAACAGGGTTGGGGTGTGGGAGGCTCTTCCACGCACACGCAAAAGAAGCCTGTGACGATATCAAGGGGAACAAAGCTCTAGGAAATTACATCTATTAAATTGTTTAGTACAGTACATGCTAGAAATAATTCCTTGTGCATGACAAATCCAGTCCTCTTCGCCCTCCGTCACTTCTGTAGGCAGGGTGAAAACCTTCGGCTACCCAGCCCCTATTTTCAGAAGCTTAAAGCTCCCCAAAATAGCTGAGTTGAGGTGGTGACACCATGGTTACCTGAAGCTTTTCACTGCTCAAAGAAACTAGTGCAGCATGGGGGCTAAGCAAGCAAATCAAAGCAGAAGGAGGCTGCAGTCTAAGCTCACTCTCAGTGCACTTAGGACAGGACAATAAGAGCACGGGCTGTTTTCAGCTACTGCTGTGCTCAACAGGTGGGAGTCTGAGGTGGAAAGCTGGGCAGGCGAAAGGCAGGCCTACCTGCTGTAGGACGACAGAACATAGGGGTGGTAAAGAAATGCTACACAGGCAGAATAAATAGTGAGACTGGCAGCTCTCTTAAAAGCAAGATTAATGGACAAAATAAAATCCTTTTGCTGCCCTTCACAGTAATGCCAGAAAAGGCGGTGGGGGGGGGCGGGGGAGACAGCTGAAATTTCTTGGGGTTGAGGTTTTAGAAAGCTGTTTTGAATGCTGTGAACTGGAAACTCCTTCACATTTGTGAAAGTCTTTCCCTCCTTCAGTCTGCTCCCCTGGACCGGTTTAGCCTCTTCTAAAGGAGCTGGTGAGCATCTAGCTCCTGGGCTCTCCCCCTGTTGGTAGAACTATTTTACAAAATCTCACTAGGACAAGCTGATGCAGAAACTGGGCTGGTTTCGTACTTGCCAGGGAGCAGAGACCACCCGTAACAGCTGCGTCTTGCGCTCAGCGGGCAAACCAGGACTGCCTTGTAAAATGAGCCTCACTCTGACAAGGCATTGTGTGATTACCATGCAGTCTGCTCTACTCCAGCTTGGGATGGGGGTGGTGCTGCAGCGTGAGTATTGATCAACCACAGCCCCATAAGCATGAGCCATCTCAGGCCCCTGCTCCTTCTAGAATTATAGAGCTGGAAGAGACCTCAGGAGGTCATCAAGTCCAGCCCCCAGCCCAAGGCTGGACCAATCCCAACTAAATCAACTCAGCCAGGGCTTTGTCAAGCCAAGATGTAAAAACCTCTAGGGATGGAGATTCCACCACTTCCCTAGGTAACCCATTCCAGTGCTTCACCACCTCCTAGAGAAATAGTTTTTCCTAATATCTACACTAGACCTCTCCCACTGTAACTTGAGAACATTGCTCCTTGTTCTGCCATTGTCACTACTGTGAACAGCCTCTCTCCATCCTCTTTGGAACCTCCCTTCAGGAAGTTGAAAAGGCTTCTATCAAATCTCCCCTCTTCTGTTCTGCAGACTAAACAAACCCAAATCCCTCAGTCTCTCCTCATAGGTCATATGCTCCAGCCCCCTACTCATTTTGGCTGCCCTCCACTGGACCCTCTCCATATCCTTTCTATAGTGGGGACCCCAGAACTGGACACAGCACTCCAGATGTGGCCTCACCAGAGCTGAATAAAGGGGAATGATCACTTCTCTGGATCTGCTGGCAATGCTCCTCCTAATGCACCCTAATATGCCATTAGCCTTCTTGGCTACCAGGGCACACTGCTGACTCTCATCCAGCTTCTCATCCACTATAATCCCCAGGTCCTTTTCTGCAGAACTGCTACTAAGTCATTCAGTCCCCAGCCTGTAACAATGCTTGGGATTCTTCTATCCCAAGTGCAGGACTCTACACTTGTCCTTGTTGAAACTCATCAGCTTCCTTTTGACCTAATCCTCTAATCTGCCCAGGTCACTCTGGACCCTATCCCTGCCCTCCAACATATCTACCTCTCCCCCTAGCTTAGTGTCATCTGCGAACTTGCTGAGGGTGCAATCCATCCCCTCATCCAGGTCATTAATAAAGATGTTGAACAAAACTGGTCCTAGAACAGATCCTTTGAGCACTCCGCTACAAGCCAACCCGACATCGAGCCATTGATCCCTACCCGTTGGGCCGACAGTCTAGCCAGCTTTCTATCCATTTTTCAGTCCATTTATCCAATCCATACTCCCTTAACTTGCTGGCAAGAATATTGTGGGACTGTAGCAGAAGCTTTACTAAAGTCAAGGTATATCACATCCACTGACTTTCCCATATCCACAAAGCCAGTTTACCTCATCAGATTGGTCAGGCATGACTAGCCCTTCGTGAATCCATGTTGACTATTCCTGATCACTTTCCCCTCTTCCAAGTGCTTCAAAATGGACTCCTTGAGGATCCCCTCCATGATTTTTCTGGGGACTGAGGTAAGGCTGATGGGTGTTGCCTTATTCCATTATCAACAGCAGCTTTGCCTGCACATTTTCTCTAAAAGACTTGGATTAGCCTTCCTGGGAGATCTTGCCTCCTCCTCCCCCCGCTTTCCAGTGTCCCCTGCTTCCTAGTGTGCGGGACTGAAGAGACCAGCTCCTTCAGTGCACAGAGCTAGAGGCGCTCACGGGGGTTTCCTAGTGACCCTTGACAGTTAGGTTAAACTAGTAACAGACCTGGGGCAGTTGCCTAGACACAAAATGCAAGGTGGACAAGTTTTTTCTACAAACTTTTATTGGGATAATTACAAAACCTGGGGGGGTGGAGGTGGGAGGGACAGTCGTGCTACTGTGGCTCGTCTTCATGTTCCGAAGGGTCCGATTCCTCCCCCTTGTGCTTTTCTAGTTTTGCCATTAGCTCTGGAAGAGACAAGAGGAGAAGGGGTGAGACTCTGATCCTGTGCTTCATGAGCACTGCTGCTCCCCCACATGACACAGGTGGCATGGAAAGCCATTTAAAAGCCAGAAGCAGCTGCAGAGGGCAGATTTGGCTGTCAGGAGGTGCAGCTGGGTTGGAATGAGCCCTGGAACTGCTGCTCTGCTCTCAGGCAAGGATCCAGTAGGGTGAAGGGGCATCAAGATGTCAGGCACAAGAAGAGCGAGCATGATGCCAACAGCAGGAGATGGGCAGCAAGAGGCAGCTTTGGCTGACAGCTGCGATCCCTCAGGCAGAGTGAGAGGTGGGAGCAGGCGCGCTCCCCTCCAGGCCTTGCGGCTCCAGGCTAATCCCCAGCAGATCAAGGGAAATGTGATTTCTAGAACGTTCTGCCACCGCCTGCTGGAATGTGACTCAAATGCACACGGTGCACAGCCCCTCTGGATGCTCGTGGTCACTGTGTCCAGTCTGGCAGCTGCCCTGTCTCCCCCACTCGTGGCAGAAGAGGAAAACTGGATCCTGCCCATCAGAAAACCTTCCCCACCTGACCCCCTTGGCCAGCTGTATGCTGGGGAAGAGCAGGCAGCTCTTCGTGGTTACAAGTTGATGGAGGCTGGAGACCTGCTCAGAGCTTGGGCATCAGTATTTTCAGATCTATTTAGCAAAGGGAGCGATCCAGGCTGCGCTGAACCAAGCCCCGCCACGTGGAGAGAAAGCCCTCCCCACCGACTGCGGCCCTCCCTACTCAGTAATCTCCACCCCTCGATGGCACTAAAGCCCTGTGTCTCCTGCAAGGGGCAGGGTAGGAGGGGAGAGGCACCTTTGGCCGGGTTGAAGACACCATTGGTTTGTTGGTCGCACACGTAGCAGCGCTTGGACTTGCGGTAATGCTGCAGGGCGCAGGTCTCGCAGAAGTAGTGTCGGCACCTACCAGGAAGGCACAAGGGGACCGAGTTAAGGCTCGCACAAAGGACTATGGCCATAGGAGATAGGCCTAAAGTCACCTGGGACAAGGGGGCTCTGCCTCCTCTCACTCCCATGGGACCCCCAGGGGAACTTCCAGCCAGTGTTCCACCCCCTACAGCAGCAAGCAGGCAAGGGCATTACAGCCTGAGTGGGACTGTTACAGTACAAATACAGAGAACCTACCCCAGCCTGGAGACAGGAATAACCCCAGCCCACCCTCACAAGACCTGGGCATCTTGGAAAGCCCCTGCTCCCAGGGGCGGAGTTTGCTGCTTCTGCAGAGTTCCAGGACAGGAAACATGATAAGAACTGCACCCAAGAGTCCTGCATGGCAGCCGGGCTGCTTCAGAGACCAAACCCCTGGACATGCCAACGGGACCTTGTCAAACCAGGGGAGACACTCCTCATCCAGACAGAAAGACCTTCCTGCTCAGCGCTGCCGGGGTGGTGTGTGTACCCATCACAACACTTGGAGTCTATTTCTAGCTCTGCCACCAACTGACTCTTTGACCTTGGGTAAGTTCCTTCACCACCCCGTGCATCAGTTTCTCATTTGTACAGTGGGGATAATGATGCTTATGAAAATCTAAAGGCTGGTGAGAAAAGCCAGAATAAATCAGCTGCTGTTCCAATGGACAATGAGCACACTTGGGGAACCTTGGAGGGGAGGGGTTTAAAAAAACAACACCACACCACACACCCAGGAAGCATCCAGGCAGTTAGGAACTTAAAGGCTCACAGGTGTGTAATAACACCAGCCACCGAGAGCGAGAGGTGGACTTGGACTGATCCAAGCCTTGTGTCTCCATCCCGTAGCCCAGACAACTGCTTACTTGGTAACCACGGGGTTCTTGAAGGAGCTTCTGCAGATGAAACACTTGAAGGGCAGGTCCTCCTCATCGCTGCTCACCTCATAGTTTTCCTCATCTGCAGGAGAGAAAACAATTCCCCATGGCCAGGCTGCAACAAAGGGGCACCCAGGTCACCCCGTCACAATCCAAGCCCAGAGCATGAACCACTGACAGCGCAGGAAGCCCCCAGCAGGTGGGCCTGGGCCATAAATAATCCAGTTCTGGCAGCTGGGCGTCTCTGATGCCAGTAGCGTGTGGGGGAACAAGATATAATTAGGCCCAATGAGCAGACATGCTTGCTGCACATCTCACAAAGGAGCAGGTTCCTCTTCCTCGCCCACTCACTGCTACAAGCAGAGACTTCAGCAAGGCCTCCCTGCTCAGATTCCTCTCAAACTAGCTGCCACTGAACCACTCGGCTTCAAACCCAACTGCAACTCAGCCCCTTGCGTTTTCTGCTGCTGATCCCAAGCGCTGCCCAGGCTGTAGCCTTGGGACACGGCAGGGAACAGCACCGGGAGAAAGCCAAGTGAAAGGGATGCAGCCAGAAGTGAGCGAGATGTCACACCAACCCCACTCCACAAGCTGGGAGATAGCTCGCTCATAGCGGGGCAAGAGCAGGTCAGTACCCACGAAGGAGAGACGTTTTCAGAAAGCAGAGGATTCATCAGAGAAGATCAGCCTGCTGATTCCTCTTGGCCACAGTCTGCCTCTGACATACCCCACACTTCAAGGAAAGCCTAATTCCTCTGTTCCCTGGCCCACTGGGCAGTGCTGCTCATGGAAGAGGTATTCATTGCAGCCCCTCTGGCAGTCAGCATCATCCTGAGGCTGCGCAGCTCAGTCCTTCCTCATTCTTGCAACAGCAGCGATTACTGGACAGAGTGACCCAGCTGCAGGATTGGGTTCTACAGTCCTGCAAGAGGCAGGTCTACGGTTTGGGGATCCACTGCCATGAAGAACTGTCCTTTTATCTTCAACTTAACCCTGTCACCTGCTCTGGAGCGTGTCGTTTGAGACAGGAAAGGAGTCGCTGATCACTTCTCCTTTACTCTTCATCCCCAGCGAGCCCAGGCCATTCTAAAGGACCAGCGCTGCAAGACCTCATTAGAACGGGACTGAGGGAGAGAAGGGAGAGTCCTGCTATTGTACCGTTGACTCCGTAGCGTCCTTCGTCCAGCTCCCGTTCAATCTGCCAGCCGTGTTTGTAGTCAGAGCGGTCGTGGAGGAACTTACAGCTGTCTGCAACAGGACAAACAGACAAGGAGTTAGCGCTCCCGCCCACCACTCTTCAGTTACCGCCTTTTGCAAGTGGGTGTTGCGCTGCGGGGCTGCCTGCACTTTGCCCAAGAGGAGCAGAGCTTACCAGAGTGCAATGCCCGCTTGTGTTTAATGCAGGTGCGTAGCTCATGGAGACTACAGAGGCCTGCTTGCATTTGATCAAGGGGCTGATGAACACCGAGTATCATACTGAACAAGGCCATGGGTGGGACACACACACACTAGGGCAGGGCTACTCAACACGTGAACTGTTTGTTGCAGCCCGCGGTGGGGTTTGGGTTTACGTGGGGCTCAACACGTGGCCTGCGGGTGGGAGCCAAAACAAAAAAGGAGTCAATATAACAGTCTTCTGTTGAGATGCTTTTTAGTAGTTCAATACCTGGACTGTCATTGCTCATTAAAAGTGCTGTCAAGTGGGTGGAAATCAGGTAAATATTACATTTTATTAATATAACAGAACTGACTTAAATGGGGCCTGCGTGTTGTGTAGTTTTGCCTTAATCTTTGTATTCATGCCCGTTAGTGTGAAAGAAGCTATTTGCATATGTATATGCAACCACACTCAAGTTGCGACCCTCAGCATGTGCTGTGAATATCATTGTGGCCCTCAGGGCTTCCAAAGTTGAGCAAAACACATCCCCTCACACATTCCCTGCTAGCGGGGGCTTGACTAACGTTACAGGGGACAGTCAGTGCTACAGTTGGAAATAGACTGTTGCCAGGAATACACTAGATCTGGCAGCTTGGCTTAAAGTACGCAACATATTCTACACAGCTTGAGTTGGCTTACTTTAAGCCGAACTTGGCGGCGTCCCCATCGTGGGAGGCCAACAGGAGCAAAAACAGGAGTACCGGACGCCGGCTGAGGCATCCTCAAAGTTTGATTTAGTGAGTCTTAACTTGCGCCTGCCTGAAGTTCTCTTTTCAAAGAGGTAGTTTAGAATTCAGGGTGGGATGGGGGTGCTGCAGAAAGGAAGAGATCCATTCACCTCCAAAGCCACAGAAGCCCGTCTCCTTGTAGTCTTTACAGATGTCAGGCTGATAGTCCCATCGCACGGTAGCCCTCAGGTGCTCTGGCGCACGGATAGGGCCTTTTCTGAAAGGGATGCAAGAACACTTAGAATGGGCGCACGGAAGCTTCGGAGATGGGGTCTGGTTTGAATCCGTCTTCTGAAGAAGAGAAGTGCTGGTGAAAGGGACCAGCTCGCAACGCTGTCCCCAGAATGGACACTTCTGCTGTTCATGCCACAAGCACCTCCATGCCCTGCCCACACAATGTGGCTCACCCAGTGACAAGACCAGGTCGGAGATCACCGTTCCGGTAGCACCTACCTCACCATTCCCGAGGAGGCGTTCCCCATCGATGTATCTTTGGGCTTCACGTACTTCTGATAGTTATTGATCCCCCGGTAAATTTTATCGTCCTCCTTCCCTCGGAGCTCCTACACCAGAAGAGCGATGAAACAGACCAGAACGTGGAGTTTTCTGTCTCTTAGATCTGCTTCCCAGCCCCCCACCTCTTCTGCTCTCTGACTTCCTCCCCCAGCTCCCTTCTACACTCAGATGGCCATAGAAGCCAGGAGGTGCCCACCAGAATCGGGAAGGGATTTATACTTGGCTCGCCAAGCTTAGGGAAAATAAAGCTTCTCCCCGTTCCCCTGTTTTGAAAACGGCAGGTGAATTTGATGCTCACAGAAGAAAGGGATGGAACAGGACCGGCTCCCACCACAGCTCTGGCAAAGCGCTTCAGTCCAGACCCGACTCCCTCCTCCAACCTGCTCTTCTAGCCGAAGGCTCCCCACTCCCAGATCTGCCAGCGCACCTCACTCCTGACCTGCAGCCCTTCTGCTATCCTAGTCCTGAACCAGCGCCACATTCACACAGAACGCTCCTCAGCCAGCACACCCGCCGAACCCTGCATTCCAACCAGTGCAGCCTCACTGGCAGCATCCCTTGCTCCAGTCCGAGACCTCTCAGCCATAGGTCCCATGTGAACCGCTAGGGATCATCTGCATCTGACTGCTTGCACTAAGCAGGTAGATTGGAACCTGGGACCTTCTCGTCTACCAATCCCCTCCCCCCCACCCCAGTTCTGAGGCAGCCCCTCAGGACTCAGCAAACCACCTGATGGGATGGACAGGCAGGAGATGGGGTTCGGCACATGATTAAACGCATGAATGTAGCGGCTTTCCCCACAGAGCTCTGGCTTTACAGGCCACCGCTGACTGACCTCCTGGATTTTCTGGCTGCGCTCAAAGATGGCCTGGGCGTCTTTCTCTTTCTCGGTGTCCAGCTCATACACGGCCGTGGCTCCCATGTCCTCCGGGCCGACAGGTTTCTGAAATGCAAGAAGCACGTTCTCCATTCAGCCAAGAGAAAACACCCACAGTATGAAAGTCCTTAGATCCCATGGTCAGGAGTGCAGGACAAACGCACAGCGCTGAAGGAATGGGGACAGTGGCTAATCGCTGATGCCAGTTGGCTGCTTGTTGCTCTGCACTCTTGCACCTTGATGATGAACCTAGCCAGGCTGGTGTCACTTTATGTTTCCAACACATTGCACTTTCCAGGTTCTCTGGCATTTAGGTCTTTCTAGCACACCTTGAACTCAATAATGGGGATAATGGCACAGTCCTTCCTCATGGGAGCGTTGTAAGGATGGGTCCATTAATGACTGGGAGGCGCTCAGATCCTACGGTGATGGGGGCCAGATACCATAGACTTTAACGAGAGAGGGAAAGGCACCATCTGGGCACTAAACAGAGTTTCAATAACAAAACCTGACCATGGCGCCCAATCATAAAACCAACCAATGACATAGTCTGCATAACAGAGACCAGAGTAAGTGATCTTAGTGTCCCTTCTGATCCCTTTTAAAGCCATGTGGCGCATTGTGCTTACCGCTGATCTCGTTGATTTGTAAGCGACACCGATTCCTTGCGATTCCCCCTCATCATCACTGCTGCTTGCCCCATACGAGGTCTTCTCTTTATCACTTTTCCTGGTCTGAAAGATGGGAAGGCAAATATCTGAAGAACTGAGAAAGATCCACACAACACAACACCCAGACATGTTCTCCTGGTTGGCCAGAGACAGTGTTGCAGCCCAGGAAAGCAAATCAGTGGAGTGAAAAATTGTCAAAATCAGGGCCCATATCCACAAAGCATTGGTTTAATGCAGCCACCGCTGGGCTGGAAGGAGGGCAGAGCAAAACTCCTTTGATTCTCCTAGATCAAGGGGCATCACAGTAAAATTCTTGCATTAAGAGAGCCAAGTTATAGGTTTAATTTGGATCTGTGAGCCTACAATGCCAGAACTTTTCGTTTCCCTCAATCTGCCGTGCATCTCCACTGGATAACAATAGGAGGTCTGAGAAAAATCAACAAGAATCCTTACACAGCTTAACTGCTTCAGGGGATAGCCATAGCTTTAGAATTCTGCCAGTATGCTTCTGTCATGCCAGGGTGTGATCCCTGACCCCTCCTAGCAGTGCCAGCAGATACTACTATACAGGCAAAACTTCACTGATGCTGATATTACTCTTTCTTGGGGTGGGGGATGAAATAAGATATACTGGTAAAATCAATAGAAACTGCATCCACACTAGAACCCCTTTGCTGACATAATACACCAGTATAGTTATACCAGCAAAGCAGTAGCCTAGATTTTCAGTTACTGAAGTTAACTGAAGTTATTGTGGCATACTGCATCACACTGGGTAAAAGTCACACAGGATACTTTTAGATCTTTTAGATCTTCCACTTACTCCCTATGCTGGCCATTTTCATATGCATTTACCCAACCTGTGCATTTATGCTCACAGATTAGTAAAATCTAGTCCTTTGTATATCCTCATTAGGCTTTGAAACATAAATTACCCCCTTGAGAGGAAAGTTCACCTCTCTGACTGTGGGGCATTGCATACCCCAGAAGTCACTTCTGCATCAATTACTGTCTGCACATTTGAAAGAATTTTCCCATAATCAAATGGGCTCAAAACAGAGGGATGGGTTTTCTTTTGTTTTTGGAGGCAGGGGGGCTGTTAGGTGAGAACCTGAATTCTGTATAATCTGAATCTGTCATGAGCCCAAATAAAATGTATAACTGGCTGGATCCATAGGCTGGGTGTATGACACTGCAACAGCTGAGGGAGGGTGCTGGCAAACCAGCTGCTGAGCAGTTTCATGGTGTTGGCACACCCCCCCAGGGATTTCCAGGGGCCGAATGTGGGACCCACCCCACCCCCACTTGACCGGGAGTTTGGTCCCACACAGGGTGGGATGCAGTAACTGGACAAGGCATGGAACTGGGCATCTCTGTGATGGGCTCGGTCACCTTCTGGATCATGGGGTTGTGGGTGTCCCGCCGCCCCCCCTTCCTGACCACCGTGCTCCCCTCATCGCTGCTACTCCCTGCGGAGGACAAGACGCCATCAGTTCAAGGGCCCTGGGGGGCAGGAGCAGCTGGGCTGGGTCAGGCCCTGGCCCCATGTCCCTTCACCCCAAGGGGCACCCCCACATGCCAGTGCCTGAGCACGGGGCTTTTGGGGGCCACTCAGCCTGCGCAAGAGGCTGGGCACCAGCCCTTGGGGGGCCCTCGGCCCCTCCAAGGGAAAAAGGCACCATCAGTTCAAGAGTCCCATGGGGCAGGAGCAACCAAGGGGGAGGGGTGAGTGGGGAGGGCGCCCCCAGGCCTCTCCAGGATGTCAGGGCTCCCCCACCCACCAGGACAGTGGCACTGTCCAGACGCCTTGCCTCTCCCATGCCATTAGGGCAACCCAGAAACCCTCAACCCCTTCCCCAGTAATAGTGGGACAGCCCAACTTCCCCCACACTTCAGGGCAGCCCAGAACCCCCCTTTCCCCAGTAACAGTGGGACAGCCCAACACCCCTCCCCCCCACACACACTTTAGAGCAGCCCAGAACCCCCCTTTCCCCAGTAACAGTGGGACAGCCCAACACCCCTCCCCCCCACACACACTTTAGAGCAGCCCAGAACCCCCCTTTCCCCAGTAACAGTGGGACAGCCCAACACCCCTCCCCCCCACACACACTTTAGAGCAGCCCAGAACCCCCCTTTCCCCAGTAACAGTGGGACAGCCCAACACCCCTCCCCCCCACACACACTTTAGAGCAGCCCAGAACCCCCCTTTCCCCAGTAACAGTGGGACAGCCCAACACCCCTCCCCCCCACACACACTTTAGAGCAGCCCAGAACCCCCCTTTCCCCAGTAACAGTGGGACAGCCCAACACCCCTCCCCCCCACACACACTTTAGAGCAGCCCAGAACCCCCCTTTCCCCAGTAACAGTGGGACAGCCCAACACCCCTCCCCCCCACACACACTTTAGAGCAGCCCAGAACCCCCCTTTCCCCAGTAACAGTGGGACAGCCCAACACCCCTCCCCCCCACACACACTTTAGAGCAGCCCAGAACCCCCCTTTCCCCAGTAACAGTGGGACAGCCCAACACCCCTCCCCCCCACACACACTTTAGAGCAGCCCAGAACCCCCCTTTCCCCAGTAACAGTGGGACAGCCCAACACCCCTCCCCCCACACACACTTTAGAGCAG